CTGGGGCCAAACTTCTGCCCAAACAGAGCCACTGTGTGCCAGCGGTTTTCGTTCTTCTGTGAGCTCTCCAGGGTTCAGGGATACGTGGGGAGCCCGGGCTGCTGGCAGCGGGAGCAGAGGCTGAGGCCAAGAACTAGAGAGGCTGCGAGGGGTCAGGAGGTGACAGTGAGGAGCAGCCTCCTGAGGTCCTGGGAGAAGCAGACAGGTGAGCACAGGAAGAGAAGCTGACAGTCCAGCCGGAGGGTAGCAGACCCGTCACACAGCACAGCTCGGGGTGGTCCTGGATGGTGTGAGGGGCGCCTCCAGGGCCGTCTTGGAGGCTGGGCCAGGCTTCCAGAGGTCCTGCCTTACGTTTCAGATTTGGGGTTCCACGAGACGCCTGCCTCTTTTGCATGCCTTTGGCTGGTTAGCCAAACCAGCCCCTCTTTCTCTCTCTCCAATTCCAGAGTCTCCTGACAAGCAGAACCCCCCCCTCACTCCTTTCCTCTAATTGGGAAATTCGGCCTCTGCTTCTGGGAGCTCGGGAGGAAACAGGTGCAATTCCTCTGATCCTGTGAGGTGTCCCCGCGCCCCGGGCCAGGAGGTGGCAGGAAAAAGGCCTCTGGCCTTGCCCCCAGCCTGTGCACTGCCTCACCCAGGGCCTGCTGGGAACGCCTCATGCTCCAGGGCTGGGCTGTGGGCGAGGAGTGTGGGCCCAGGACCCCACCCTGTCCTGAGGTCAAGGATCGAAGGGGTCCAGAGGCCACCAGCACGACTGCATCCTGCAGAGACACCTCTAGGCAGGTGCTGCCCCGTCTCAGAGACACCAAGGCTGCGAATGGAGGGACTGCTCAGGTTGTACAGTCAGAAAGGGGCTGTCAGAGCCGAGGGCCTCGCCCACGAGGCCACTGAGCCAAGCCGGAGGGAGTGTCTGCAGGGGTCTCAGGCCCTAGGCTGGGGCTTGGGGTTCCGAGGCCCTCAGGGTTCCCAGCTAGTGACCCAGTCCCACCAGGCAACAGGCTCCATGGAGGCCGGACACCCAGAACAGCCCTCTCCAAAGAGCCCATCTCAGAGTCGTAATCTCTGTCAAGTAAGACATGCTGGGCAGGGGTACAAATGCCCTGCGGGGTGTCAGGGAGACAGTGCTGCCTTCTCACTGGCTCTGGCTTGGGGCCCTATGGCTGGAGTGCTCCTGGGGCCCCACTGGGTTTGGGCTCAGAAGCCAACCGACCTGGAGAGGGCTCGGGTGACGGCCTGAGGCCCTGCCCACTGGAGATAAGCCATGTGGGGGCGGGTTGGGGTGGCCGGTGTTTGGGCCACCTTCGGGTGGGGCTGACCCTGCAGAACGGGTAGACTCAAAGGCAGGTATTGGCGTCTCAGGGGCAACTGTCATATGCAGAAGGCACAGAACAACAGCTCGGCAGAAGGAAAGCAATGCAGTTATTTTGATTAAGGAATTTATTTCTCTTAAAAAACCAACAGTGGTTGGATCTGGGAACAGCAGCATGGTGACAGGTCAGACGGACATACAGACACAGAGCAGCAGAACAAAGCCGTCACCCTCCGCAGTGACCCCCTGGATGGAGCTCTTTGCACTCACCAGTGTTAAATTTCCCTGGGGGAAAAAAAGAAACCTTTGGCTACGAGAAGGATTATTTATTTTAACACTACCAGCAGCCACTATGCCCTTCTGTATGGAGAACAGTTGTTTTCGACCTATTACAAAAATGACTTATCAATGGACCGGAAAAGACATCTAGAGTCTTCTTTGGGGAAGTGTCTCCCCCTCGTAGGGACAGCCAGCTCGTCACATGTTTCAACCGCTGTCTGCAGCACCGGCCTTGAAAGTCAGACGGGACGAGACTCCCGGAGCCGCAGCAGGATCGGCCCCGCGTGGCTGGACTGCGAAAGCTGGGCTGCTGGGCTCAGAAGGACGCGAGCCCTCTCTCCACTGCTCACGACCCGCGGCGCTGCCGCTTCGAAACGCTCGTTCTCCTTCCACAACAAAGGCTACAAAGTGAGGAGGCCCCACCTCTGAGGGTGGGGACCGGAGACAACCTGGAGAGGTCCCCCTAAGGAGGGTGCAAGTGCCCACACAGATCTGAGAGCACACAGCGGCCTGGCAGGGCGGCCGGGGTCACCCCACAAGTGTGTCCCCTTCAGACTCCCAGCTGTCCCCGTGGCTGAGGCGTCCTCTGTGTTGGGGTCTGCCTGGGTCAGCAGCCCACGAGAGAAAGTCGGTGGGAAACCGCCCGATGACCTGAGCCTTTGGGGAAGGACAGGCGTGTGGAAGAATATGGAGCCCCCCTGGTGTGCTGGGCCACTTGGAGAGGCCAGCAGAGCCTGGCTTCCTGGAGGGCGGACCCTCAGCTGCATCAGGGTTTGCTCGGCTCACGGGCAGGCAGCTGTATCTACTTGTGCCAGAAGTCACCTTGTGCCCTGGAGGGCCGCTTGTGTGTGCGTGGAACCAGGCCACGTGGCTCTCCTCCTGCAGGACGGCCTCCCCCCACCCTCACTCCCAGGACGGTGCTCCTGTGTCTAGGACAGTACGTTCAGGGAACAGGCCAGCCTGCCCGGGCTGCCCGAGACCTGCGGCCTGGCGCTGCTGTGCAGTGCCTGGCGCTTGAAGCGCACGGTTTAGAGGGAGATGTTCCCGGCCTGGACAGAGTAGAGACGGAGCTGATGAGGGATGTGGGGCCCTCCTCTGCGAAGGCAGGGGGTCGGTCTGCGTGATGCCATGGGGGAGGCCAGGAGAGCCCCAGAGGGGGCTGGGCCAATACTGGTCAGTCCTGGTGATCCTGGCAGAGACCTCCCCTGCCCCACCAGGGACAGAGCACAGATGCCTCTGCAAGACCCTGTGTCTCACCTCAAAGGCACCTAAGTCAGCGTACGTCTGGTGAGAAAATGTCATGCCTGGAGAAAGGCGGGCCCTTCTGTGAAGAGCTCCAATGCCGTAAAAAAGATTTAAATCCACTCTGTCCAAGCAAGCCTCGCCCGAACAGGTGGATGGGTGGGAGGGTGGGGTTTTTCCTTAAGTAAAAAAATACCTCCTAAAAAATGCAGCTGCAGGACACAAGTTGGAATAGAAGCAGTAGGGGCAGGAGGTGGGCGGCAGAAGGGGTGGGGGCGGGACCCGTGGGGACCCTGGGACTTGGTGGGAGGAGGGCCAATTTTCAGGCAGTGTTCCAAATTAAGACTTCCCTTCTCTTGGGAGAAGCAAGGGGCCAAAAGGAAGAGGAAGACTGGAAAGGCCAGTGATTCTGTCCCCGGGTCCTGCGGGCACTTGCGGGGGGTGGGCGAAGGTGAGGGGGGCTCCGGCAGTGCTCACAGCTCTCCCGACGCAGGCGCACGCAGATTTCCGTTTCCTTCCTGCCCCTTCAGGATCCTTTTCTAGTTCAGCGGACAGGGCGCCGGGCCCTGAGGTATAGAGAGGCTGGTCCGTCCACACTGGTCCGTTCAGTGCGGGCTGGGCTGCCGAGAATTGGGTGAAATAAAGGAAAATTCTGGACAGGAGCATCGTGGCTTGGGCTGGTGATGTCCCAGGGAGATGAGTGACCTTGTCATTAAGAAAGGACGGTCATGAAGAGCTTGGGGACTTTAAAATACTGGTCAAAGGGCTCCGCACTTCTTGGCAAAGACTGAATGTAGCCATTTGTATTTATCTTGTATTCAGCCCAAGAAGGGCCATGGAAGCAGCCCCTGGAGACAAGAGCTGGTCTTGAAGGGAAGAACACTGAGCACTAACGGGGTCTGAGGGAGGCCGACTGTCCCTTCTCTCCCATTTGTTTCTCAAATCGCCTCAACGCGGCCCGTCCCCAAGGTCAGGCCCCTTCCGAGCAGCAGGGCCCGGGGATCACAGGCCGCTTTCAGGAACAGTTACAAGGCTGACGTGCCTGCCGCCTCCTCCCGCCTCGCAGTGGCCCGGGCCACCTGCAGCAGGTCCGGGTGGGCACAGCCGCAGGCCCACTGGTGGCCGAGGCAGTGGCGCTCGCGCCCTACATTGGAAGGACCTGCAGGGCCTGTGAAAGGTGCAGCTCTCCAGGCTGGGGTGGGGGTGCTGGTGCAGGGCCCGCCCGGGAGCAGCCCCGGCAGCTGCCTGGGGGCCGAGACCAGGTCTGACTGAGGCCGCCTGGGTCTCTGGGACCCCGCCAGTCTGGGCAGTGGGGTCGGGCGGTGGCTCTCCCTGTCCCAGAGGAGAGGTGAGGGCAGACTGGCTCCTATCACCTTCTGGAGATGGCAGGGGGCGGCCAGGGGCTCCCCAGGACTGGACGGCCGTGCCACATTGGTGAGGGACTGGATTCAGAGGCCCTGGTCTGGCAAAGCCACCAAGTGCCCCTGGGGCTGCCTGGGCCGCAGAGATGGGGATGGCAATGCGAGGGGGCCTCTGCCCTTCCTCTCCCGAGAAATGACAAGGAGCTTGTCTTGAGCTTCTTCGGTGGCTTGGCCTCTCCTTGGGCATCCCATCTGCTTGAAGAGCCAGCTCTGCCCCTGCCCCCTGGGACAACGAGTCTGTGGTGGCCCTACGACCCTGTAAACACTTAAAGGACACGCCCAGCTTCCCCGGGCAAGCCCTTCCCCACCCAGACTCATTCAGGGAGACCCACTGACCCTGCTCCAAAGCTCCCATGGGCCATGAAGGGTTGGGACACCGGGGGCTTTATGACTGGACTGCTCCTTATCACTGCTAGGCGCCTCTTCAAAACAGAAGAAAACTAACACCCCAACACACATGGGCTTTAGCAGTCAGAACCTGCTTAGAAAGAAAGAGGCACAGAGAATACCGGACTGAGGACACCGGTGTGGCTCACGGCCACCTCCGGGAAGGAAGAGGAGGCTGCAGCACAGCCGGGAGAGGGTGCGTCCCGATGGAGAGGGCCCAGCAGTTCCATGGCCAGCAGGGGGCGCTCTGGCTGAGGCAGGGTCCCCAGGGTACCTTTGTGCATTTAATTCCGATTCTTGCAGGTCAGCACAGGGCGAAGTCAACGCAAGGGAAAAGTTACAGAGATGGATACAACCAGTGCTTTAAAGGTGAAACGTGAATCATTTTCTACATTTAATAAAAACGTTTTCTCATTTGAGGCTGTGGAAGTCTTGGGTCACATTTTTGGGGGGTAAGTCCCCCACCCCCTCTAAAATGTCTGAAAACGCATGGCTTAGACATTGCGTGGCTGCACAGAAAATATACACCCTCGGAGTCTGACTTTCATTTAAATACAAATATACAAAATGTAAACTGAGACGATAGAGAAATTTACAAAACTTTTCTTTAAAAATAATAAGGACAAAATTCAGTTCTAGTTATGACGCTATTAAAATACGTGCAAGTTGTTGTATCCGATTGGATTTCTATTGCGATATTTGACAGAGACAAATCCAGTCCACCCGGCCTGAGGGCCACCTCCGCACGCAGACCTGAGTGGAGATCTCTCTGAGGAACCCGAGGCTCTGCGTGGAGGGGGCGGCGGCCTCCTTCCGTCCCCAGCTCCTGGAGGGCTCCCCTGTCCGCCCAGCCAGAACGGACGCTCCATGGGTCACGAGTTCTGCTTCTAAGGACAAGGGTCTAGGCTGGTCCCACGGTCGACTTCAAGGCCAAGCTGCCACTAGCTGCTTCCAGTGGAGTTAGAACTGACATGGTTTGAATTTATGTGGTGGTTAAAACTGGTCTTGGAATTGGGCGAACTCTTGGCATTGTTCTGATGCTGGGGGGCAGGGTGCAGGGAGAGAGAGGGGGAGAGAAAGCGAGTCAGTCCATGTGGGGTCCCGCCTGGTGACTCAGGCAACCCAGGGGCTGGCGGCCACACACAGGGGCCTGGGTCAGGGGCCACCGGCCAGGGACTCTGCGTCTCGAGCTGCCTTGTGCGCCCTCCCCTGCAGACCCAGGTGGCATGGCACTGCCTCTCTCTCTGGGCGCGCTGCCCCCAGGGGACACTGTCTGGAGACATTCTGCCACAGGGGTGAGGTAGGGAGTGGGGTGCTCCTGGCAGGTGGAGGCCAGAGAGGTAGCTAAGTATCATGTGGCGCACAGCACCCCCCCCATTGGAAAGAATTGACCCAAAACGTCAGCAATGCCCAGGTGGGAGGCCCTGATGAAGCTCCACTTGGGGCTGGCCCTGCCTCTGCCACCCCAGGGATCCCCTCGGACAGGGGCTTCGGACAGGCTGCCTGTCCCCTCCAGGCTGCTGCCGACCCCCCCTCAGAGCCCCCCAGGGAGGTGGACCGCTGCAGCTCCGGTCTCGAAGGTGGGTGTGCCTGGGCCGGTCCCCGGAGTGGAGGCCAGGACAGCAGGTGCGGTGGCGGCGGGGTCTCACCTGACGCTTGAAGATCCTCTGGAGCAGCCCTTTCTTTGGTGGTTCCGGGGGGTGACTTCTGTTCAGGTCTGGCGGGAGGGCTCCGTTGGGCCCGAACACGTTCAGCTCCTTAAAGCACTCGGTTTCGATCATCTGCAGGGGCAGAGTGCACACCCGGGTGCCGTGAGGGCCGCGGCCAGAAAGGCGTCCCAGCCCCCGGACCTGCACCCACATGGGCCCAAGTCGGGTCCCACCAAGTCCTCCAGTGCCCTGGTCTCACCAGGGCCCAGACCCAGGCGGCTCTGCCCGTGCCCGCCTTTCCCCAGCGGCCTGGCTGTGCCCTTGCCCGAAAAGGCAGAAGCCTCCACCACTGTGCCCACCGCCAGCCCCTCCTCACGCACCCAGGCCCGGGGACCCCGCAAGCCGGCTGCAGCCCCCGCCCACCCCATCGATGCGGCTCTGGCTCCGACACAACCCCGCCCGCCTCCAGCCACAGCTCCATTTCCCTCCTTTCCCTGCCGGACTTCCCAGCAGAGTCACCCGGACTGGTCACATCTGTCCCGCCTTGTCTTCCCTCGTCTGACCCAGCCCCATGCGGCCCCAGCAGGCCACAGGGACCCCTGACCCCACACATCCACCCCACCTCGCTCACCTCGTTCTGCCACGGGATGGGCACGGAGCCGGTGGAGAACTTGGAGTAGAAGTCGTCGTCCGTGTGGTCCAGGTTGACGCCCTTCACGGTGGAGAACTGCTCGATGTCCAGCACGTCCTTACAGTACACAGCGCGGGGCTGAGGGGCAGGGGCTCGGTCAGAGGGGCCATGGCTGTCCGGCCGGGCTGGGGGTGTGGATGCAGGAAGCGGAGGGCCTGCCTGAGGCTGCCCCCCCCAAAACCCGCACTGTCCTCTCAGATCTGCCCCAGGACCTCGGCCAGGGTGTGAGCTCGGGGTGTCCAGGGCCCCTGCTGCCCTTACACAGGCTGCAGGGCACCCCATCTCCAGGCTCATACTCCTTGGCACCTCCAAGGATCCCCACTCCCCCTTTAGGTGGTCTCTGCTCCCCTAAAGCCCACGAGATCGGGATGGTGGAGATGTTTCTAAAGTCATCCATATCTGAAAGAGGGCTGGCAGTGCAGGGCCTCCGGCCCAGCCCCCCATAGAGAGAGCAAATGCTGGTTCCCAGGGCCCGGCCAGGGGACGACAGAGACTCTGAGTCCGCGGGAACATGCAGCCAGGGAGGATGTCCCAGAGGGACCGCCCCTGCCCCTCTCACATCATGGGGCACCGGGGGGCTCGGCACCCAGGCTCTGCCACCAGACGGGCCCTGGCTAGAGTCCCAGCCGTGGTGTGTAGGGACTTCGGAAATATCACCTACCCCTGTAGGCCTGTCTCCTCACCTGCCAAACGGGACACAGCAGCACCTGGGCCACGGGGCCGTTGTGCGCTGCTGCTGCGTCTCTGGTCTCACTCGCTCACTGGACCCGTGCTGGGGGCCCTCTGTGCTGGGACTCACAGAGGTGAGCCCGGCAGGGCCCTGCCCTCTGGGAGTTGAAAGGCATGGGGGGCCTCCCAGGGGCTCTGGAGATGAGGACTTCGTAGAGGAGATGACTCCAGGATGGATGCAGGGGACCCCCAGCCCTGGTGACAGGTCAGTTCCTGCAGGGCTGCCTCCTGCCCACGGGTCTCCTGGGCCCCCAGCCCCGGGCCCAGAATGGACGCTCAGCTAAAGTCCAGGCTGAGACCCTGGGCACAGGCTCAGTCCACAGTGAGGGAGGCTACTCACGTCTGGAACAAAGGGAGGGTCCAACATCCCAGCTTCTAAGCGCTTGAAGTTCATGTTCCTGAAGAAGGGGTGTCGCTTGACCTCTGCAGCCCCTGCCTCCTGGCAGCCCAGCCTCTGCTTTGGGTCTTTGGTGAGTAGCTGTGACAAGACAGAGCCCCATGAGGTCGTGCCCCATGAGGTGGGCCTTTCCTCCTGCGGGATGGTGGGTCTGTGGTCGTCTCCCCGTCACAGGTGCATCCCTGGGACTCCCAGATGTCCCTCCTCCAGCCCTCTCCAGCCCGTGCCCGCCCAGGCCTCCGAGAGACGCTGCCTGGCCCTGACAGGCCTTGTTTCAGGGCTACCTCCTGAGCCACTGTGGGCTTCGTGGCCCCGAGTTCACGGCATACGTGTGTGCAGGGAGCCCCCGGGGCAGCAAGCTCCGTCTGCGTCTCCCCGCAGCCATGTGCCTGGTACCTAGTACAGGCTGGGCACCCACTGGGCACCCAGGGAGGCCGGCTGAACCGGTGTTACCTTCTGCCACAGGTAGCTTACAAAGGGCAAGGGCTCTGTCTGTGGGTCTCCGTCCGTTTACTCAACCCACGGCACACCGTAGTCTTGGACCCAGGTGCAAACCGCTGTGGGGGGAAGGGGCAAGGGAGGCTGAGGACAGTGAGGGTCTGGCCTCAGTAAAATGAGGGTTAGGGGCCCCTCAAGGCCACAGATGCAACACCACAGGGTAGGAGGAAGGCGAGCTGGCTGTGAAACTGGGGGTCAGGGAGGCTGAAGGGCCGGAAGGAGGGAGCTGGAGGGGGTGGGGAAGGACCCGAGCCGAGACTCAGCAGGGGGTGGAGGAGGAGGGTGCTGAGGTTTGGGGCTGGAGCCTGGAGCCAGGGGCAGGGCCGTGAGGTACATGCATTTCTGGACCCCAGGAACAGTGGGAAAGGTCTTGTGGCTGCCAAGATGGAATGAGGGGCGGAATCTGGGGGCCAGGGGCCAGCTTCCTGGCTGTGTGTGAAGAGGCCTTTGCAGGCAGGTGGGGCTGGAGCTGCTCGGGGCCTCCATGGTCTCCTTCCACCCCACGGCACCCTGAGCTAGTGCCCGCTGGAGGGGACAGGGCAAGCCTGGCTGCCAGACCAGATGGACTGTGGCAAAGGACACAGAAGAAGCCCAGGACCAGAGTCCCAATACTCCTGGCTCTTCTTCCAGCTAACAAAGATGAGGGGGTGTCAGTTTGACACTTTGCACCCAAGAGCCCAGGGTCCCAATGGCCCGGCTTGGCCACTGCCTTTCTCTCAGTGAACAGCAGGGGGCAGCAGAGAAACAGCAGTGTCCTGCTGCCGCAAAGCAAGCAAGGAGGGGGCCCCCTGTGTCTTTCTGTTCTCTTAGCACATCTATGCCCCTGTTGGGGTCTCTCAAGACCTGCCTCTCTGAATCCCCGACTGACCTGGGGCACCCTGCTCTGACCTCCCTCTGCAGTTCACTGGAGAGAGAACCTCTCCCTGACGTAACTGAGGCCCCTCTAGGAGCCCACGTGTCCACAGCTGCCTCATGCTGCCTTGCTCCTCCTGTCCCCCCGACCAAGTCCACGGCTGTGACACCCTGTTCTCTTGGAGGCCCCAGGCGTGTGGGCAAGTGCCCAGCCACAGCTGGCCCCAGGCCCCATGGCACACACCCCTCCCTCTGTGCCTCTCGCACACGCCAGTGACAGAACCATGTCCTCTTTCTCTGGAGGTCGTCACACGGCAGACCTAGCCCTAATCTTTCTTCCCAGAGCACTGTGACGCCAGGCTGAAGCTGGAGAGGGAGTGGTCAGCAGCGTGTGGAGGGGCCCAGGAGAGGGGCCTCCTGGGGAGGGGGAGCCACTCCAGAGGGTTCTTGGCCCCCTTGAGGCACAGCCTGGGGGTTTAGCAGCAGCGGTACAGAAGCTGCTGCTTCCCATCGACCCGGGGGCCCATGCCTCTCTACGCGCTGGCCTAGTCACTCAGGCACACGGTTCAGAGGTGGACGTCCAGCCTGACCGCTGACCGTTGGCTGCTCCGGTGCAGCAGCATCAGGAGAGGAAGTGTGTGGGCTCGTGGGTGTGCAGAGCTGCACACTCAGGCCCTCCTGTCCCCAAGGGTCCTGGCAGGGCTCAGGAGCCTGAGAGCAGGAGCAGAGTGGCCGTCTCCCACAGGGCCCCTGGCCAGGCGTGGGCGGGCTTGGGCTGAGGGGCAAGGCCGTAGTCCAGGGGTTCGCCCCTGCCACCAGCCTGAGTGTCACTCCCACATGCGCCCGCCTGGACGGGGCAATCTCACTGCCCACAGACGCTACCATGCCGGTGCGCCCAGCATTCTGTTTAGTGGACAGAAAACTTGGTGAAGGTGTTCAAAGTCGGAAAATGTCACTGCTTCAAGCCAGTGTGCAGGGTGCAGAGCTGGGAGGAGCAGGAGGCCCAAGGCCAGGGTAGGGGTTTGGCCCAAGATCCCCTTGTACCTTGGGGATCAGCTGGGATCAACTTCTTTCTCCCCTGTGCTGACTTCCCCCACAAAGCTGGATGTGAGGGCCCCACGCCATTCAGCTCAGCCCCTTCCCCTTGTCAGGGGCCGCCCGGCCCCCACCCCAGACTCCCTCCAGCACAGCAAGCAACCCTGGCACCTCCGCTTGGTGGCTTCAATGCCCATGCCCGGGTGCACCCTGGCCCTGTCCTCCTCAGCCGGTTTGCTGAGCTAGGAGGGGGCAAGGGGAGGGCAGCCACCGCTGGGGGGCCGAGGACAGCGTCTGGATCACCAGCAGCTCACCATTTTGCAGATGGACTTGGCCTCCTCGGAGAACTTGTGGGAGTACGCCTCCTCGGTCTCCAGGACCCGGCGGTCCACCTCCTCCCGCTTCACCTTCTCCTTGCGGCCTCGGAACGGTGACTGGCCCTCAATCATCTCGTAGATGAGGCAGCCCAGACCCCAGTAGTCAGGGCTCAGGCCGTATCTCTGGTTGTTCAGGACCTCGGGAGCTGGGGGCAGATGAGGAGGGTGAGGAGAGGTGAGAGACAGAGCTCGGTGTAGTCAAGTGACACCCCTGGTTAAGATTTGCTGGTTAAGATCTCCCACCCCTCACCGAGCCCTTACTTCAGATGAGGGTCACCCAAAGAGGCCAGGGACTCTGGGGGGGGGCACACCCGCACTCACCCATGTAGCCGACGGTGCCCACCCTGCCACGGATCAGGTCCCCCTCGGGGATCTTCACGGCCAGGCCCAGGTCGGAGATCCTGATGTGACCTGTGTGGGGGGAAGCGGAGGGTCAGCAGGGCCCAGGATGGTGAGCGGGGCCCAGAACAGTCGTCCCATCCTGGGCAGGGGCACAGATGCGCTGTGTGTGCCAGGCAAGGCCCCGGGACTCTGTGTTTTCATCTGTCCATGAAGAGGGGCCCGATCTAACACTGCAGGGGGACTGCGGCCCCCAGGAGAGCCCGGGTGTCGGAGGCTGCGGGGAACTCACTACTCTTCAGGAGAAGGATGTCAGATGCAAAGGGATGGTTGCATTTGGCTGGACGGCAGCCGACCTGCCTCATAAAATGCTCTAATGGGCTTCTTGGAAGGCTGAGGTCATGGAGTTTAAAACGCCTTGGCCTGATTCTGGGATTGCTTCATGGAAAAAATGTGAGATTCTCCTGACATTTTGCAACAATTTGCTTAAGGGGAAAAAATTATAAAGCAATTTGGGAAGCAACTTCCTGTCCTGCCCAGATGGTCTTTAGAGGTTGTTTTCTCCCGTTGGAGAAACACGGCGGGAAGATGCCCAGGCCCTGGGGACGGTGCTGGGTTAGTGCTCCTGGCCCCCGACTGAACCCAAAGCAGGGACGAGGCCCTGCTGGGCGCTCAGCCTGGGTGTCGTCTCATCTGGTGGCCCACCCAGGGGCGGGGGTGGGGGGGCCATGCCACATCTGACCCTGCAGGGGCAACACTCCCCATCTGTGGATACCGGAGCCCCCGTGGCTTGGCCTTCAGCAAGGCCCAATGAGGGGGACCCTGGACAGGTTGGAGCTGCGTCCCCCAGCTGAGCAACCCCTGACGAAGGCAGAAAGGGCGATGTGACCGCGTGGAGTCCGGCCCTGGGGATGCAGGTCAGTGGTGGGCGTGGGACTGAGACCTCCGGGGTAATGGCCCCCTGCTGCACGTGGCAGCATCGCCAGGTCCCCAACGTGCTGAGGGGGCCTGGTCTCTGATCTCGGCTCCCCACTGATATTGCCAGGTGACCTTGGCAGCTTGGCTCCTCTGAGCCTTAATCTTGTCGTCTGTAAAGCGGGCACAGCATGCCAGCCTGGCACCCCGCCCCCCAGCCACTCCCCACCATTCATTGTGTGAGGCTGCACAGTTGGGAGGGCCTGCTGTGGCCGTCCCTGTCACCCGTGCGAGAAAACAGCGAGGGCAATGCACAAATGCTAATGACTAGCACATGCACGGCGGCTGCGGCTGGCTGGACGATGTGCCCTCAAGCGATCCTGTCAGAACCTCACCACCACCTTCCACCCTCTGAAGCTGGCAGGGCAGGACTCATTGTTTCCATCTAAAAATAAGACAAATGTGCCCCAGCTGGTGTGGCTCACTGGACTGAGTACCAGCCTGTGAACCAAAGGGTCGCTGGTTCGATTCCCAGTCGAGGCACATGCCTGGGCTGTGCACCAGGTCAGGTCCCTAGTAAGAGGCAACCACACACTGATGTTTCTCTCCATCTCTTTCCCCCTCCCTTCCCCTCTCCCTAAAAATAAATAAATAAAGTCTTTAAAAATATATAAAATAAAAACAAGAAAAACGAGGTTCTGAAATTCTGGACCCCTCATCTCACTCCCTTCCACTCATCTCTCTCTCCTCTCTCTCTCTGCCCAGCCACGTAGCTTCCTCTCCAGGTGGGAGCTGCATCCATACCTGCTGCCTTCCCTGGGTCCCCAGGACTGAGGACAAAGAGCAGGTCCCTCCCTCACTTGCCCCCTGCCCTCCCGGGGGCCCAGGGTCGGTGCCTGAGTCTCGGAGAGGCCCTCCGCTTTGGGTTGCGATGCTCACCTCAGCTACAGAGTAGGAAAAGGTCTTCCGCACGACTCCCCGACTTACCGTAATCGTCTAACAGGATGTTTTCAGGTTTCAAATCTCTGAAAGGGAAGGACCACAAGCATGTGAGTGTGGGCATTCAAAGGCACCCTGGAGTCTGGGTGGAGCCCCCTGGTCCTGAGGCTGTAGGTCTCCAGGCTGAGACAATATTGGGCTAATTTCTGTCCTCCCACTGTTTGTCACCGGCATCTTCTTGACCCTGGGGAGCGACTAGGAAGGAGGTTAGGTGAAGGCTGGTGCTGGCTCCTGTCCACAGCCCCCAGGGCAGAGGTTACCTCTGGCTGGGGTGGTCACAGACCCCTCCAGAGCTGGGGAGACCCCCAAGGTCTCAGGATGCCCTGAAGGTATAGAAGAGCCTGGGAATAAAGGAACAGAAGTTACTGAGAACAAAGCACCAGCTACAGAACTGGGACAGGAAATTGTGGGGAGGAGGATGGCCTCCCCCAGTGGAAGGACCCTCTCAGCGTGGGCCCCGCAGGCACCAAGCTACAGTCTGGAAGATGGCACAGCTGTAGGTGTGGCCACCTCTCCCTGTCCCTAATGTCTGCCTTCTCTCTGATGACACAGTCATGCTCTTAAAGAAGGGAACCTTTCCATTCCCAGCAGGGGGAAGAGGCAGCAGAAGTGTCTGGTTTTACTAGGGAAGGGTCCCCTGGGGTAAACGAACCGCCAGTAGGATGGTGTGCAACTCAGGTAAGGCACTGGGCACCGACACCTGGCCTCTGGATTGAGGACTGGTTCTCAACCAACAGGCTCCGTTCATTGAACTGATGGCAGCTGGCCCTGGGGAGGGGTCACAGTGCCCAAACGCAGCTGGTGGTCTGACACAGTGCTCACTGGGGTTTGTACGCAGTTATTCGTTACAAAATACTTTTTTTTTTTGCTGTTGTTATTTAATATGCATCCTTTTGATGTGTTGACAATTCCACAGAAGAGCAAGAACCAATGTGTCAATCATCAAACTGGCCAGTAGGCACGAGCCAGAACCAGGGCCCACAAGAGGCCGTGGTAAGTGCTCAAGCTTGAACTTGGAAAACTGCCCCCCCTTTTAAGTGAAAGGCAATCAAATGGAGGATGCTTTTTTCAACGCTTAGGAAAACTGCTCTGACTCTCTTGTCACTTGAATGACGACCAAACAGAAAGAAGCACAACTGGGGAGACAGTTTAGAGGGAAAGGCATGACATCAAGGCCTCGCTTCTTGTTTTCAAAACCTTCTTGGTCTCCCAGGATAATCTCCACCAAGATCTCCATGGCAAAGGTCTCCAAACTGGGCTGTGTGTGCCTGGGGGTCTCTGGGGGCCTCCCAGGAGAGCCCCACTTGCCAGCAGTTTCAGGAGTGTGGACTCTAGATCCTTAACATCACGATGCCCTGGCTGCCTCTGGGGTTCCCCCTCCCACCCGCCCCTTCTCACTAGCTCTGCTCCCCGAAGACAGAGATTAATTCTGATGGTGCCCTGTTCCAGGTGTAAAAACCCCAGGTCACCATGAGAAGTGGGACCTACTAGTGATAATTATAATGGCAACTCAACAGAAGAAATTACTGACACTTGGAGCCTTATGGTCAAGGGAAATTTTTAAAAAATCTTATATGTAGCCACATATTTCAATGAAAGACTTTTAGGCATAAATATATATTCCATTGTAATAACATTTTGTGAGGAAGGAATGGAATAGAAAATGATAGGAAATTCCTCACCATGAAAGAGTTTTAGGCATTTTTTTTAAAGATAAATGATGGTGGAAATCAATGGGCCACAGCAATCACATCCCACTGGATACCTTTAAAAAAGCAAACTAACTGTTCAATTTCAAAGTGTCAGTATCAGCCACTATTTGAACACATGTTAGACCATCTCAGAAGTCTTCTGAACATGTACGATGGTGCAGTGCTTCAGAGTCTTGGCCAAGGGCTGCGATACAAGCAGGAAGGTGGCCACTTAGAGTCTGCATGCCAGTGAGGGGAGCGAGGGGTGGACAAAGGCCTGGAGTTTTCCTGGGTCCAGGTCATAGCCACCAGGCTCCGCTGAGCGACCCCGGGCACTGGCCTGGAGGGGACAGGGCGCCAGGACGTGCAGCCCACCTCCCTCACTCAGTTTCAGGGCGGAGTCTGTCCGACGCCAGCACCCTCACCTGCAAGAGTAGCAACCAGGCCTCAGTTCCCGGGGGAGAGTCGGGTCCCCACCCACGTGCACTCACCTGTAGACGGTGTTTTCCAGGTGCAGGTCTTCCAAGCCGCACAGGATTTCGGCCGCATAGAACAAGGCCCGCTCCTCCTCGAAGCCGGGGTTCCCCATGTTGTAGATGTGGAACTTCAGGTCGCCCCCGTTCATGATGGTCAGGACCAAACACAGTGCGTCCTTGGTCTCGTAGGCGTAGGCCAGGTTGACCTAGGAGTGCAAGATAACAACAAGGTGAGGTTCTGCGACGACCCTCCACTTCCGCCCTCCCTCCTCCGGGTCCTTGAAGCTGGGGGGCGGGGCACTGGGCCAGGGGAGCGGCAGCAGCTTCACGCCTGCTGGCCTCCAATCCAGACCGCCTCAGAGTGCCCTGCCCGCTGCCCCCCTCAGTGGGTGAAGGACTTGCGCTTTCCAGTCTGGTGGGTTCAGGTGGGGAGACAAGGGGGGAGGGCAGGCTGGCCACCTGCTGTTTCAGGGATCCCGCCAGGAAGGCCCCTCTGCGTTTACACCACAAAAGCACGTGTGTGCGTCAGCGGGTTGAGACCTCGTCACTGTGTTGCCTGGTCGAGCACAGCAGGGCCACGTGCTTGTCCGGCATCGTCAGTGCAGGGACGCTGGCCGCCAGCTGGGCAGGTGGCCAGAGGGGCTTCGCCAAGCAGAACACAACTTGGCCAAGACTCTCACACGCGGGACACACCTGGTCAGAGGGACCATCGGCAGAGAGGATCCAATCCCTTGCTGACGGAGACCAGCCGCCAAGGCTCTGGATGGGACCATGGGTCCCCACTCAGCGGGTTGGTACACATGAACTCTGGCCGCATGGACCAGGCTGGGGCCGGGCTGCACCGTACAGCTTGTGTGCAGACACCAGGAACAAGGGTTACTTCTGAGGAAAGGAGGCAGAATGGCGCCGAAGGTGACAGGGCCCTGGGAACTGTGCTCTGGCGCCAGCCACTGCTGCCCCCAGCCCTACACCTGTCCAGGTGACCACGAGGAAGGACCCCAAGGGGAACTCCCCACTGCAGGCAGAGGACGGGCTCAGTAGAGGAAGGCCCAGGCTCCAACCCTTCCCCGAGAAGGACCCACCATCACTAGCCCCGAAAAGAGCGGCATCGCCCCTGAGGGCTCCATGGCCGGCCCGGAGGCAGTGACCAGTGGTCCCTATTGAGGGGGCCCAACGGCTCAGAGGAAGGTTCTGGACTGGTGAGGGCTGGTGTTGGCCTCGATCACCGCCTCCCACATGTCACTGTCACTCTGGGTGGGGCTGGCAGTGGGGTCAGCCTGGGATGAGACCCAGCGAGGCACAGTTTTGTCCCCTTGGAGTGTCCCTGTGGAAAGCCACCCCCTCCGTGGGGAATGACGGAAGCACTAGGCTGATGGCACGTCTAGTCCTCACACACGGCTGGTGGGATTTCACCGGGGCAACCTTCCTGGAGAGCCGTCTGGGGACAGCTACCGACTGGGAGGCGCACGCTCCCTCTGCCACAGCAACCCCTCCACCAAGGAGTCCAGCCTGCGGATGGACGCAGTCCCAGAAACCTGCCAGTGGTGAGTGAGGACCGCCTCTGCGCAGTGGATCCAAGCCAGGGGCAGCCTCTATCTTTGGGGACTGGCTTCTGCAAGGGGGAGAGTTTCTCTCTTTCTTGTGTATGAAGGGAAGGGCGCAGCTGCAGGTCTGGGTATTTTTTTTAAAAATCTGTCTTTTAAGGGGAAAAATACTGCAGCGTAAGAAGTCTGGCAAGATGCTGTTGGCTAAAAACCGTGAGTTGAACACAGCGGAGCGGTTGCTCAGAGAGGGGCCTTCCGCGTCCCTCCTGCGTCCCTCCTGCGTCCCCGGCCGCGGGAACCTCTCTCCCACACCCACACTGATTCTACAGGGACCCGCAGCGGAGGTACTGAGGGCTGACCGAACGGCCACGTCCTCCTCCACTTTTCCCACAGCTGGCTCGTCCCTTGCAGGCACCAGTCTGGCCAACGGGCTGAGGGTGGTGGTGACGGGTGTGTCCCTGGGCGTATACCCCCAGGACTCCAGATGGGGTGGCTGTGAGGGAGAGGAGGGCGGCCCAGTCCTACTGGACCGTGCGAGTGACAGATCAGTCTTGCTTGTTGGCAGCCGCTGCCAGTCGCTACTACGAGTTGGGGCCACCCTGTCACTGCACAGAGCGTAGCGTGGACGGAGAAATGCGAAGAGTGCAGGGTCAGGGTACCAGCACTGGGGTGTCTACCCCAAGGAAGCCAGCCTGCAGGGGGCTGTCAGAACAGAGCCCCTCGGTGGACCTCGGGTGGGGGGGCTTCTTTGCCCTCCAAGGAGTTTGCAAGGTGGTCCTGCAGAACAGAGGTCTCGGCCCCCCACACAGAGGGGAGCTCGGCTAGCCTAGGGACAGGACGAGGTCAGCCACCATTGGCCCGAGGGGCCTTGGGATGGTGGTGACTAGGGGTGTGGCTGCCTTTCTGCAGGTGTCCCTCCCTCTGCACCCCATTTTCCTGGGCTGGGCATGCGGAGAGCTGCCACACTGGAGCACCGCCCACTCCCCGAGGGACAGACGCCCCGGTCCCAGCAGGCGCCGGTCACCAGGCCCCGGACGCTCACCACGAAGCGACTGTTGACCTTCTCCAGGATCTGTTTCTCATTGAGGGCCATGGACTCCCCTTTCCTCTTCTTGATCCTCTTCTTCTCCAGGCGCTTGCAGGCGTACATCTTACCCGTGGCCCGAACCTGGCAGGCACAGACCTGTGGTGCGAGGGAGAAGCCGAGGGTGCGGGGCGTGTGAGGCCCGGAGCCCTGTCGCCAGGCCGAGAGATTGGGAAGCTGATGGAGCCGGAGCCGCAGCTGCCCTGGGCCCTTCCCTAAGATCCGGCTTCGGCGCCCTCTCCCCTCTTCCCCCAAGGTGGGTCCCAGCTCTGGAAGGTGCAGTGTGAGCCATTCGCAGCACCATCTGGGTGATCGGCTGGAGCCTAAACCCTGTCCCTCTCCCAGAGACAACTTGCTGCTCTGTCCTCGGCTCCCAACCAGATGCGACCAGTGCCAACTGGGCATTTTCAAGTACTAGCTGAAGCTAAAAGACACTCGTTGGGGGTCAGTGATGGGAGACCTCCGGGACCCCTGAGTTTGTAATGCAGAGGAATGGACACAGGGCATTTGGGAGCCAGTCTTAGTCCTGTCACCTGTGGGCCCTGGGCTGGGCCACCGAAGGTCGGCTTTCCTCTTCGCTAAAGGAGAAGCACCAGGCCTGCCTCCCCATGGGGGGCGGGGTCAGACGGAGCACGGCAGTGCGTAGGAGCAGTGCCTCCAGGCCCCCAACGCCCCCTCTCCCTCCAAAGACAGCCAGGAGCCCTGTTTCTCCTCTTCGGACTCGCACCCTGCCTGAGGCTGACCCACACCCTCCTTCGAGTTCAGACACCCCCGACCCTCCTCTGCACCAGGGGCCCACAACCAGCAAACGCCAGGAACAGCTTTCGCAGGGCCAGAAGGGACAGAAAAGGGGACCAGAGTGTGGGAACTTTCGACTGAAAACATGGACGCTCACTTACCTCCCCGAAGCCCCCTTTCCCCAGCACTCGGTACTGCCTGAAAGTGTTTTTGGTTACCGGTTGCCTGGAAAAAAGCAAAAATCCTGGGGTTAAGATGTGTAACCCATATGCAATAGACAAAGCAGCTTTGAAGTGGCCGGTGCAAGGTGCAACTCCACGCCCCGGGAACCCCAGGAATCACCACTGCAGAGGGGACCCTCAAGGGCTTACTCAGTCTGGGAGAAAAGCAGAAAGCTTGAAAAAAGTGAGCAGAAGCAGCTTCACAGGACTTTCCCTGCGGTTCCCCTCTCTCTCCTATATGCAAATCGGAGGGGCGGGGCTAAACTCAGCAGGAAGCTGCGGCCCCCCCCCCCCCAGCAGGGAGAGGGGAGGGGCCAGGAGCCAGAGAGGTTCAGAGTCTAAGGGAGGACATGCCCGAGGCCAGAGACAGGGCCCTCCCTGCACCTGCCATCTCAGCCTGCCCAGCAGAACGGCCACACCTCCAGCCTCTCCACCCCCAGGGCCCCTTCATTATGTCTCCCCAGAGCTCCAACACTAGGAGAACCCTCTGCCAAAAGCAGAATTTGGGAAGTCGTAATCACTTGGTCTCTCTCTGTCTCTCTCCTCTCTCTCTTCCTTCTGGTGAGAACACTGAAGAGTTACCCTCTCAGCACTTTTCAAGCACATAACACAGCATTGACTCTCGCCACCACGCCGCAGGTCAGAGTCCCCAGAGTCCTGGGGCGCACCCGTCCGCGTCACTGACACTCTGCACCCTGACCAGCATCTCCACCCCCCACACCGCATCTACTCACTGCTCCCTCGAGTTTGCCTTAGATTCCTCATACAAGTGAGGTCATGTGCTGCGTGTCTGTCTGCGTCTGGCTTATTTCACGTAGCAAGTGTCCTCCGAGTTTATGCACACTGTCACGTACGGCAGGGTTTCCTTTTTAAAGGCTCAATAATATTCCAGAGCCTGTGGGTACGTGTGTGCACGCACCAGACTTTACTACCAGGTTCGCTGCAGCATCATCCGCGAGAGCCAAGATATGGAAACAATCTGAATGTCCGCCGACCGGCGAGCGAACGACAAACGAGCAGCTTTGCCATGTGAAAATCGCCTCTCGGAGCTCCAGAACTCTCTCTGAGCTTCTCCCCACCCCACCCCAAGAGTCCTGACCGGGGTTGGAGTGGGACTGAATTGGGCTGGCGAACCAGGTCAGCTCTAGAAAGACAGTGAGCCTCTGGTCACCCGGCAGCTCCTGAATGAATCTTCCAGGGAAACTCTCCTGGCTGCTGGGTCCTGGGAGAGCTCGGGCTTTGCCGGAAATCACACCACTGCTCTCCCAGGACGGCCCCGAACCCCAGGACACGGCCTGCACTTGGCCTGGGGTCACAGTGCAGCGACTCTCTTCCCTTGTTTCTTTGGGAAAGGTGGCCCAGACACCACCCCCTGGCAGGACTCTGTCAATCTGCATCTTTTCTCCTACAGAGGAGCAGCCAGGGCCCTGGACAAACCTGCCTCCTGCCCGCGCCTGCCACGCGCCACAGGAGTGTTTCCTACAACCGCCCTCGAAACCACATGAAGGCGCCCAGGCGGACCAGTTTACGACGCATGGAGAACAAACAGTCGGCCGGCATTACCGCAGAACCCCTCTGCTGAGGGAAATGAGTGTAATACAATTTCTGAGGAATTTCTTGGTTAACCTTGGGAGGGAAAAAAATCCCTTTAATATTTCAACAGTATAGCACTAAGGGGCCACGGTCTTGGTAGCAGGGGAACAAAAAAAAAAAGGAGGGGGAGAAGGCAGGGTGTCATTTAGGACATTTCTAGGCCAGGGTCCTGCCCTGCAGGCTTCCACAATTCAATGCAAAAGAGCTTCACTTCTCAGACTCTAAAAGTCCATCTCACAGGCTTGGTGCAGACAAATGAAAAATGAACACCAGGGGTGGCAGCTAAAGGACTGTACTGGAACAGGAGTGCTGGGTGAACCAAGGGTGACAGACCTGAGTGAGAGACCTGGAGTTCGGGTTCCAGCCTTGCCAGGCTCTTGCTGTGTGACCTAGGGCCCATCCATCAACCTCTCTGAGCCTGACATCATCAATGAAATGGAGCTATTGAAATGGCATTTGCATTTAAGGGGTTTCTGAAGGCTGCTGTGTCAGATGTCAGTATTAGAACTCTAGGACTGAGGAACGGGGCCCCTCTGGGGCCTCTCTCTTCCCACAGCCCGAAGTGCCCTCCACGTGGGCTCACGTCGTCCTCACACCAGCCTTGAGAGGTGACACTATTACCGCCTCCTTTCTGCAGGTGGGAACTCTTAGGCTTTGAGAGGTAAAATGAGTCGCCCAAGGTCATGGCTGGTAAGCGCTGGGGTTGGAACTGGAGTGCAGGCAGCCTGTGATGGGGCCCACATTTGGCGTCCTGACCCCACACGGCAACACCAGGCAAAGTGCATGCCGATTGGGGTCACGTGTTATGCAGCCCAGGGCCCCGGGGCTTGATGAGCACACCCCACCGCTGCCCTGCGGTCATCGGAACCGCGACCGAACCTCCCCTCCCTAGGGGCAGCTGCTCCTTCCCACACCAGGCGTACGAGGAGCATGGCTGCGCTGACGATCAGTGACGACCACAGCCGCACTCAGCAGTGTACCTCCTGGGGCCACAGGGCTGACGTGCCCCAGGCACGTGCTGCTGACCTCATCTGGTCTTCATGCCCGGCTGACAAGGCTGGCACGATAATGACCCCAATGACAGGAGGAGACCGTGGTGTGGAGAGATGAGAAGCCCCTCCCAAGGCCCTCGGGAGGAGGCCGACATGGGACTTGGGTCCAGGCTGTGGGCTCCCTGCCCCCAGCAGGTGCCTGGCCTGGCCTTTTGCCCCTCGGTGTCTCCTGCAGCAGCTGTGATGTGCGGGGGCAAGGGGACTAACAGGGAAGCCCATCCGCTGCACTCTGTTACCCGCAGTGGGCGGGGCAGAGAGAAGAAACATTATCCAGTGGCCGAAGGGCAAGGTGCTTCTCCTCTGAGCTTCCCAGGTGGGTGGGGAAGGGAGTGGACGGAGCTTCTAGAAGGTTCCTGTCATGTGGTGTCCTGAACATGTGCAGGGAGCTTTTGGCCAGCTCAGGGGTGAGCGCACACGCAGGGTAGGGCGGGCTCCTCGCTCTAGAACCCCCGTGTGCCCAGAGGGCCACGAGCACCAGGCCTCCGGCACAGGGCGCTCCGGGCTGAGGAAGGGGACACTCCCACCCACGCCTCCCAGCTCAGCCTGGCACGGGTGTGCCATGGGCACCCCCCACCTCACACACCCTGAGCTGTGTGGTGAGCAGAACATGGAGCCAGGGGCCGGAGGCCAGGGCCCCTCGGTGCACCCCTGGCCCGCTGGGTGACGAGGCCAGACACGTCACATCCCCGCTGGGTCTCTCCTTCCTCAGTAGCCACACCGGCCCCGCCCACTCACCGAGTGCGTGTGGGATCACTTTGCAGAGAACAAGGCAGCAAAGCAAACATGAAAATGCACTCAGTCCCATCCACTAATGGGGTGAAAGGATAACGGGAAGAAAGATTGCTGCCGGACAGGAAACAGAGAACGTGTTGCTGACGCCCAGGGGCGCGGGCAGGACTGGAAACTGGGGGCCGCTGCTCGGGAGGGCGACTTGTCAGTTCCTCACGGTTTAAAACTAGGGCTTTCTGACCCCAAAATTCCTCTGCTAGGAATTTCTACAGTTGTACTTGTAAATGTACAAGTATGTGTGCAAAGCTTTCCATCCCTTAGGAAAGGCTGCCCGCCGGTGGGGCTTGGGTTACGTAAGGGACGCACCGCTCGTTCAGGGAGGACGGCAGCCCGCCGTGTGCGGGCGGAGGAAGGGTCCCCGAGCACAGACAGACAGAACAGGATGCCCAGAGAGGCTGTGCGTTTGTGTGTGTGAGTGGGCAGGGGTGTGAGCAGGCACACTTTCATGAGCACAGAGAGCGTCTAGGACACAGAACCTACTTCATAGGAGGAGACGGTTACTTTTATCTGGCCCACGGGCCCACGGAGGTAGCTGGATTTTATGCGACTTTGCAGGTGAAACCTGGCCCCCACCCGACACGCACCCTGGCACACACTGGGGGGCGGAAGGGCGGGGGGCGCTCACCTTTCCAGCCACTTCCACTGGAGGAAGCGATCGAAGTACATGCTGTCCAGGTACTGGCGGAAGGGCTCCCCACTCAGGTAGTCGTGCACGGACCTGGCTCGGAGGGAACGCAGAGAGGGACATTTCATCACCCCGGTCCCGAGGCAGACGGGCAGACCACACACAGGGGCCGGAGGCCCCATCCTTCCAGAGGGTGGTTTGAGATGGCCTGGCTGACCCCACGCTGGGCACTGAGTTCTGGCCCTGGGTGCATCCCAGGCCTGGCCTGCACCAGTGAGTGTGTGGGTGGCCTTATGATGGGGACGTCACAATGGTAAATAACCAACATTAAATAAATGACCCAGGGTCCCGGGGTCAGGGGTCAGAGGTCGGGGCCATCTCTCTGAGGAAGGAATAGGAGATGCAATGACAACAGAGGCAACTTTGACAACAGAGGGGGAGGGGCAGGGACTCCGAGATGGGGGGTGGTGGGGGGCAGATCGGGATGTGGCCCCTGAGGCCCACCACGTTCTGGGTCTGGTCCAGGACCAGCAAAGCCACCAGATTTTCATCCTGCAGCAGAATTTATGGGTCACCTACTGTGGGCTTGGCCTAGGCTGGACCTGGGGGGTTCTGAGTCTGGCTACAGGCAGGGGTGGGCCTCTTCCCTTTGAAAAGTGGGATGCTGGCCAATCTGGCCTGGGCACCGGGGACCCGAGGGAGGCAGGGGACATGCTGAGCTGGGGCAAGCTGGGGGCTGTGTCTTGTCAAACCTGCAAACCGGGGCTGGCATGGGGGGCCGGGATGACCCCTCCCTCAGGAACAACCCAGGGACCTGCCCCAGTGCCAGGCCTGCCCCTCGGCCACCTCCGAGAGGGCAGCCACCAGGTCTCTTTCTGCTGCAGGGGTCCCTGCTCGGGCCCTAACAGGGTTGGGCCCCCAGCTGGCTCCCCAGACTGTCCAGCCACATTGTCACACTCCCAGTGCACAGGGCTGCTGGCTCTCTTGTCCTCCCGACCTGGCGGCAAGCTGTGGGAAAGCCGGGACTGGGCTCCCGCTCACCAGGGTCTCCCCAGCACCCAGCACAGTGCCAGGCACAAGGCAGATGCCCAACTGATGCCTGTGGATCCAAGGGTGAACAGGGCACACAGGATGCCTCTTGGCATGTAGGCACGTCTGCGTGCACACACGTGTCATCTTATGGGGTACAGAGCGTGTGGGTGCATGAACGTGCGTGTGTGAGGAGATGGGTGGGGGCGTAATGGGCACACGGCTGGCACCACGGCCACTGGCTTGTCTCCTACACAGGAGGCCTGCAGAGGTGATGGGGCGTGGCCGGGAAGGCAGCCTGCAGCCCCTCCTGCAGCAGCGCCGCCGCTCGGGGTGGTGGCAGTGGTGGGGTTGGGGGGCCTGGGAGGGATCTCCAAACCACCCAGCCCAGGTCAAATTTTTGCACATTCCTCAGTCTCAACAGCCTGGAGAGCCACCGCTTTCAACACCCTTTGAAGCAGATGTTTTCCTTGGACTCAGCCCCTGGTATCTCTCTCTCCTCTTAAGGAGCACACAGACATCTGGGTGGCTTGGCTGGGCCCTTGGCCACTGAAGACCTGCCCTGGTGCCCAGAGCTCCAGGTATAAGCTGGAGGCAGCCCCGTCTGGAGGGCTGTGTGGCTGCCAGAGGGGCAGAGGGGCCTGACACCCCCTGGCCAGGAGCGAGGGAGGCTGGTGGGCAGGGGCCCGGGGCGGGCGGGCTGCCGAAGCACTTACTGCGCACAGGCAGAGAAGAGTTCTTTGCAGGGCCTCTGAAGGAGCCTCTCCTCCGTCTGGGAGACCAGGTCCCGGCCAACCTGGGCGATGAAAACTGGGGACTGGAGGGAAGAAGAGAAGAGGAGGCGGTCAGTGCGGGGGAGGAGCAGGGTGTCCGGGGCCACCCAAAGCTGCTGGGTGTGGGTGCACCTTCCCCTCCTGCCCGAGCCGGGCCCTGGGCCGCCTGCGCAGCATCGGGTTGTGCAGGGGGTGGCGGGGTGGGAAGGTGGTGGATGAGCCCAGACTTCAGGTCAGATTTCTGCTCTGCCACTTTCAGTCAGTGTGACCCCCGGGAGGTCACATGGCTCCTCTGAGCATCACTGCCATCGTATGCAGAGCATCAAGGATGATGCCTGTGTCTTGGGCCTGTGGCCAGAACGGATGGGGTGCGAGAGCACTCCTGGCAGGAGGAGCTGTGCACCAATGTCCAGGTCTTCGGCGACCCCCTGAGCTTGCTGACACCCCCAGCCACTCTGAGCTGTCCTCTCAGAGGGCAGAGTCGAGAAGAACCCCTGTACAGCCTCAAGGTCATGTCCAAAAGGGTCTGGAAGGGGTAGGAGGGCAAGCGAACAGGACGACACAGCAGCTAGGGGAGGGGGCTCAGCAGCTGTGCGACACGTGTGCTTTGGGCACTGGCCCCAGGGTTCGAGTCCCACACCTGCTGCCGGTGGCTGGGGGACCTCGGTTTTGGCTGTTCAGCCTCGGTTATCAGGAAGATGAGCAGAAACAACAGTTTCTCCCAGAACGACCCGTGACAGCTTTAGGCCCTGCCTTTGGCCCTGATCCTGGCACGCAGGAGAAAGTGTGCAATAAATGTCACCGCTGTCATTTTGGTCTCCTTCTCGGTTAGGCTGCCTGGCCTGAACACTTCAAGTTGGAAGGGCAGCTCCGAGTTTCTGCATCTTCCCCAGGAGTGGCAGGCCTCCCCCCACCCCTTCCCCCAACCAGGCTCCCTCTACCAGCCGCCCCCCAGTGGGTTTTCAATAGATTACAGGAATAATGGAGAAAGTTGCCAGGAGCGGGCTCGGGAAGGTGGGGCGTAGATGCTAAAATCTGAAAGACTTGCTTCCTTTTCCCAGCAGTTGCCATGTGACCGTGGGGTGACTGTTCTGCTAAGCCCACTGGGTGGTGTCTGATGGGGGGCGTGGCACTGACCCTGAGGGTGCAGGCGGAGCAGCCCGGTGAGTGAAACCAGTGGCTTATTTTCTATTCCCCGCCGTTCTGAATGCCCACATCCCCCTTCTTCCCTCCCCTCCCAGGCCCCGCCTTCTCTGCAAGTTCTCCCCTGCCGTGGGCCCTCCCAGCCCCTGGGTCGGGGAGGCCTCAGGTGTGGGGGTTGCCACCGTGATGGAAAATGCCGCCCAGACATACACGCAGTGTAGACAAAGCCTGTCACATCAAACGTCTCAGAGAGTCGCCCAGATGGCTGCCGCCATAGTCCTGGGTGGGAGTGCCCCCCTCTCTGCCCACTCTGCCAGGGCTGCCCCTCCATCCCCACACTGACAGTGCAGTGAGAACACAGAAGAGCAGCCGGCAGACTGTTGGCTTCTGGGGCTACTTGCCGCTCCTTTTGCAGAGAAGATGTTCCACAAAGCGGCTGGAGCCCTGAGCTCTGGTCCAACCCCTGCCCTGGGCCATTCTGGGCCCTGCCGCTTCCCCTGTGACAGGAAGGAGCTGCTCCGGGGAGGCCCTGCAGGTCCTCAAGACTCAGCGATGGATGGTTGGGCTTTGTTTTAGTTTTTGCTTCTAAAGCTTGGAGAACTTTGTTTGGGAATTCTAGCAGCTGAGTCTACGGGCGTCAGGAACTCCAGAAGGTGGGGACAGCGTCCTCGTATCAGAACAAGCCCTGAGGCCACAGGCAAACTCGCTTCTGGAAGAGAGCTGAGGTGCTGCGCTGCCTTGGTGTGCGGGGCTCAGCGGCTGGCCCAGAACTGGCGCCCGCTGTGTGCTTGTTAGGGAGAGATGGGCGTGGGGTGGGTCCGCCAAGACCAAACAGAGATGTGGGGGGGGGGGCAGGGGCGCTGATTTGTCATCGGTCCTCACCAGGAGAGACACACTGTACCTGCAGGAGGCCCAGCCTGGTGCTGGGCGCAGTGCGAGGGAAACCAGGGTATGGGGCCTATTAAAAGGTGACCCCTATGTGGTCCTCAACCGCAAATCAGTTTGTCTCTCGTAAGACACTCGAGATCAGGTGAGACGCTAACAGGAAACTCCCTTCCCTTTTCTTGGCTATACGTGACCACCTGTGAAATGGGCTGCTTGGAACTCCACAGTTCGCACACTTTTTTTTTTTTAACAGCAAGGCTCTTTTCTCCTTGTTCAAATGAAATTCTTTTATAGACCCAACATTTAAAGCCAACAGAAATAATGTAATGGATAACAATGGTTTGCCTTTGTTGAGGCTAACCCTGGATAGACACTGTGTAAAATGCCTTCATGGATGAGGAGATGGAGGTGCAGAAAGCCCAAGTCATTTCCAAAGGTCACCCAACTTTGGGTGGGTCAAGAATGAGTCTGGTTGGAGGTGGTGGGCTGCCCGGGCCACCTGTGCTCCCCCCTCTCCCCCCTCCCGGGAGGTGTGGCATGGGCCCTGTGGCTGACCAGGACACCGGAGGCCCTCCAGCAGAGGCAGGCAGAGCTTGCATGGGAAATGGCGCAGCTCAGGGTAAGGAGCCACTGGGCTCAGATAAGTGGGCGGTCTCACTGGGCTGGGGTCATTGGGAAAGGCTTTGAGGGGGATGGGGTCAGGGCCCTCCCACCTGCAGGCCAGGACAGCCACCTGGCTGCCTGCTCGGCCACACCAGGCCAGCCTCCAGCACCGGCTGGCGAGACGGCCCGGGGGCCGCTGCCCACCAGTCAAAGCCCTAATGGGGTCAGTGAGCAGGTAATGATGTGCTCAGTTTAACCACCAGGGGTTTAAACTCAGTCTTTGGCTCGACATGAAGACATTAAGGAATTCCAACCAGAGCCCCTTTCAACTGACTCCAGGGGAGGACACCTTTGCCAGAAAGGAGGGAGGAGGAAGCTGTTGGGCAGCTTAAGTCAGAAACTGAACCCTGCCAGGAGGGCGAGGGGGGCAGCTGCCCAAAGGGGCATTTCAGGGCCCCTCGCTAATGGGATCAGGGGGTGCCTGGTCCTCCCCTCCAGGCCGGGAAGTGCGTTTCAGAGGGAGACAGGCAGGCTCTCCCTGGCCCTCCCGCACTGGGAGAATGAAGACAGAATTCCAGAATTCCGTGCCGTTTCAGATCTCTTTCCAGCAAGCCGGTCCTTCTGGCCCCCGGGGCCTGTGAGGTGGAGCGTCACCTCACCTCAGTGAGGGCTCGGGGGTGCAAGGGAGCTCTGGCTGGGCAGCACTGTGGCTCTTTGTACCAGGAACTGTCCCTCCAGGATGAAGCTGAGGGTCAGGGTGGGCAGGATGAATGAGTGACATCCTCCTCAGTGTCGAAGACGCCCAAGTTCTAACCAAAGTTCTAACCAAACGGTAAGGGCCTCAGGCCCTTAGATATTTACAAAGCAAAAAGCAGCTGGAAGGTCCCCTGGCCTCGGGACTCCCTCAGGCCAGCAGGGTTTTGAAGTGACACTGATTTCTTTGGTCACAGATGTCTTCTTAAGTAGCTCCAGCCTGCAGGCCTTGACCTGAACAGGACAGTTCAGGTCAAGTGTGTGTGGAACTGGGTCTTGGTGGCATGTCCTCTGGACTGGAGGGAGGATGAGGACAGGGTCCCTCTGCTAGAGGACCCACAAGAACCAACGCCTGGCCTCCCAATGGTCTCGCACAGCCCAGGCTAACCAGCTGGCTGACCTCGATGGGACCCAGCTCTGACAGGAAGTCCACTCTGGTGACAGGAGCAGCCCCAGCTGCCCTGAGGAAGGCTCTGTGGTCAACTCTTGGGACAGCTTAAGACAGCAAGCCACACCTGGGGGACATAGCTCTGCACGCCCACTTCTCTTTCCTGTGGGAAGAAAGGGCTTGTCTCCCTGGAGGAGCTGGAGGCCGCAGGGACACCTGTCCCGCCCCTGAAGTCACACCTGGAACAAGGGGATCTGTACCTCGTCCCCTCTTTGGCTAAGTCTCCTTCCTCCCCATTCCCTCCCCTGGAGATGGTGGGGGAGGGCACAGTAGGACAGAGATGGCATTAAGGCCTGGGTGTGCTTTATTCACTCTGTGAATCTGGGCTTCTGGATAGAAGCCCCCTGCACCCAGAGGGGGAGGAACCTGCTCCCTGCCGCCCACCCCCAGAAGGAGAAATCGACCTTGAACCCATTTCCTGCACCAGAGGAACTAGGGGCACATGTGGGTGGAGCCAGGCCAACAACAGGTCCTGCTGGTGGGACAGACACAACATAGCGACACGTGTGTGTCGGGCTGCAACCCCCTTGGAATCATGGCTCCTTCCTACCTCCTCCCCCAACAGCCCAGACCCACGCTGCTCTCCCTGAGACGTATGCGTGGGTTCTAGTCACCTGGGCAGCCAGAGGTGAGGCTGCATGGGTGTTCTCCTGGGACCCACCACGCCACTTGGCATGTACATCGGGCAGCCCCTGAGGTGGATGCAGGGGGCCTGGGGGGCTCTCCACCTTCACTGCTCTCCCCCATTTTGTCCCCCCCCCTCCCATTAAGTTCTCAGGTCCTCAGGCTGCCAGCGCTGCCCATGACCCTACACTGGGACGTGTGGCCTCGGCCAGACCCTTCATCCTCTGCTCCATCAGTCGGAAACCTCCACAATATTCAGACACAGTCCTGACGACCGTGAGGACGCAATGCCCAAGGGAGGTCTAAAGAGGAGAGAGTGGGGGGTGGGCAGCAGCGGGCGGGAAGGAAGAGCTCAGGACTAGTCCTGCGGCCGTGTTCCCGTGTGATGGATCTGGGGTGAGCCCGTGCGTGTGGCCTGGCGAGACTTGAGGGCCGACAGAGATTACCTGCTGAAGACTAACACGGCCCCAGCACCCCTTGGTGCTGCGACTGCTCCAGGCGTCACCCCTCCCAGGTCCCAAATGCAGCTTCTCAAGGGCCTTCTCTGTGCTTAACTTGAAGAAGGACAATCTGGGGTATCTCAGGTGC